CTTCCTGCATCTGGAGGTGTAGATGTCTGTGATGGTGGGGAGACTGATTCCAACAGATTTCTGTGCAGCCTTCACCACTCTCTGCAAAGCTTTTCTTTCTGCAGCTGTGCAGCCTCCATGCCACACATTGATGCTCGAGCACAGGATGCTCTCCACTGCACACCTGTAGAAGGAGGTGAGGACTGAGCTTCCCAGACCAGCTCGCCTCAGCCGTCTGAGGAAGTAGAGTCTCTGATGAGCTTTCTTGATCAGGCTGGTGGTGTTGTTGCTCCAGCTGAGGTTGTCATTCATGTGTACACCCAAGTACTTGTAGCTGGAGACCACTTCCACCGCAGATCCTCTTATGTTCAGGGGGGTGTAGGTGTTTTTGTTCCTTCTGAAGTCCACAATCATCTCCTTTGTCTTCTTCACATTGATGTGAAGGTTATTCTCTCTGCACCAGCTCTCCAGGTGTTCCACCTCTTGCCTGTAGCTGGACTCATCATTGTTTGTAATGCATCCCACCACCGCTGTATCATCTGCAAACTTTACAATGTGACAGCCTGGATGGGTAGCTGCACAATCATATGTGAGCAGAGTAAACAGAAGGGGGCTCAACACACATCCCTGAGGAGAGCCAGTGCTGAGGGTTATGGTGGAGGAGGAGAGGTTGTGGATCCTCACTAACTGTGGTCTGTTTGTTAAAAAGTCTAGTACCCAGTTGCAGATGGAGGGGCTTAGTCCTAGTGTGGATAGTTTGTCCATCAGGGTTTGGGGGATCATGGTGTTGAAGGCGGATGTGAAGTCCACAAAGAGCATACGGACGTAAGAGTTTTTCTGCTCCAGGTGGTTGAGTGCAGTGTGGACCACAGAGGAGATTGCATCCTCTGTTGATCGGTTCTCACGGTATGCGTACTGATGAGGGTCCTCGTTGATGTTGATGGTTGTTTTATGTGAGTCATGACCAGTTTTTCAAAGCATTTAGCGACTATCGGGGTGAGGGCCTCTGGCCGATAGTCATTCAGACCAGTCACTGTAGAGCTTTTTGGGACTGGGATGATGGTGGCAGTCTTCAGGCAGGTGGGAACTGTCTCCAGGGTAAGTGAGGTGTTAAAGATGTCTGCCAGCACCTCACAGAGCTGATCAGCACATTCCTTCAACACTTTTCCGGGGATGTTGTCTGGGCCAGTTGCTTTGTGCAGATTAATCCTCCTGAAGGTACTCCTTACTTCTGCTGAGGTCATGCTGAGATGCTCTTCATCCGGTGGCGAGGTGAATCTGGTGCTGGGTGGTCTGTTCGGGTCTTCAAAGCGTGCATAGAACTTGTTGAGGGCATCAGGCAGAGATGGGTCTTTGGGGCATTGTTCACTCCTTCCTTTATAATCTGTTATGCACTTAATGCCCCTCCACATGCTCCGAGGGTCTTGTGAGATGAATTGACCCTCGATCCTCTTTGCATATGTGGCCTTGGCCCTCTTAATACCAGCAACCAGCTCTTTTCTTGTCCTACTCAGCTCCTCTGAATTTCCAGACCTGAAGGCAGTGTTCCTGGCTTCCAGCAGGGTACGCACCTCTGCATTCAGCCAAGGTTTTCTGTTTGGGTAGCTTTTAACATTTCTGATAGTGGAGACTGTGTCAGTACTGAGGATGTGTATTGGTCAAGATCAAGCGAACCTCCATTTTCAGCAGCTTCTCTGAAAACCTGCCAGTCTGTTCGATCAAAACAATCTCTCAGTATGGGGCCACTGTCCTGGCTCCAACATTTAACTTTCTTTTGTACCGGTCTGGAGCGTCTCAGCGGGGGCATGTAAGCAGGAGCCAGGAAGATTGAGATGTGGTCTGACAGTCCTAGGTGGGGGCGGGGTTCGGCTTTGTATGCATCTTTTACGTTCGTGTAAACACGGTCCAGCGTGCGGTCTCCACATGTCGGAATCGTCACATGCTGATTAAAGCTTGGGAGGCAGTCCATTAGATTCACGTGGTTAAAGTCTCCGGCTACAACGTAAAGAGCCTCGGGGTGTTTGTTCTGCAGCGAGCTGATGATATCATGAAGCTCCTGTAGTGTTTCATTATCGTTAGCGTCCGGAGGAATGTAAACAACTGTGATAAAAGTCACTGTGAACTCTCGGGGTAGATAATGTGGCCGACATTTCACTGTTATTTGTTCCAAAGCCTTCGAGCATGAGCTATTTACAACAGTACAGTTCGTGGACCAACTTTTACTCACGTAAATGCATACTCCGCCCCCTCGTGATTTCCCCGTTAGCTCGCTGCAGCGGTCCGCTCGAAAAAAAAGTCCGTCATCCAGCTGGAAGACTGAGTCCGGCGTTTCACTTGTAATCCACGTTTCCGTGAGGCAAAGCACCGCACACTTCTTCATCTCTTCTGAGGCGCCCACTCTCAGACGAAGTAAATCCATCTTGTTGTCCAACGAGCGGACATTCGACAGAAAGAGAGACGGCATGGGGAGTTTACCGGCTTTAGCGTTAGCTCGTAGCCTCACCATAACCCCCGCCCGGCATCCTCTCCTCTTAAGCCGGGAGCAGCGCTTCCTCTTCTGCCCGCTGGAACGCCTCTGCTGCAGCTTCCAGGTAGATGACTTTAAGATCTGCATTCTGCCGAGCGTAGCTTTGAGTTTGTTGCTGATTTCTGCTATATTTCGTGGCAAATCCGCTCCTATTCTCATCAGTTCGGTTCGGCTATAGTTCACACGCATAAATCGCGCAGAGTCAGGCACAGAGTCAATATCAAAACTTCTAAAAACTGGGATGGTACCGGGAGCCTGTGAAGCTGCAACTGCTCTGAGCGCGGCCATCTTGTTGTATATTTACCAGTGGTTTTGGCACTGTGAGCAGGTGCCAGGTCGTGCTGAAAAATGAAATCTTCACCTCCATAAAGCTTTTCAGCAGATGGAAGCATGAAGTGCTCCAAAATCTCCTGATAGCTAGCTGCATTGACCCTGCGCTTGATAAAACACAGTGGACCAACACCAGCAGATGACATGACACCCCAGTGACTGTGGAAACTTGACATTGGACCTCAAGCAATGGTAATTCTGTGTCTCCTCTCTTCCTCCAGACTCTGGGAACTTGATTTCCAAAGGAAATGCAAAATTTACTGTAATCAGAGAACATAACTTTAGACCACTCGACAGCAGTCCCAGGCGAGATGCTTCTGACACAGTCTCTTGTTCAAGAGCGGCTTGACCTGGGGAATGCGGCACCTGTAGCCCATTTCCTGCACACGCCTGTGCATGGTGGCTCTGGATGTTTCTACTCCAGACTCAGTCCACTGCTTCCGCAGGTCCCCCAAGGTCTGGAATCAGCCCTTCTCCACAATCCTCCTCAGGGTCCTGTCACCTCTTCTCATTGTGCAGCGTTTTCTGCCACACTTTTCCCTTCCCACAGACTTCCCACTGAGGTGCCTTGATACAGCACTCTGGGAACAGACTATTCCTTCAGCAATTTATTTCTGAGTCTTACCCTCTTGCTTGAGGGTGTCAATGATGGCCTTCTGGACAGC